ATGCCTTATGTGGGTGTTCAGCCTGATCACATAAGGACTAAATGTGTATGTGGGAATTAGGAATACACCGCACCCTTAACCCCTGAATACTAGGCATGTTGTTGTACCCAATCTTTCTGTGTTGGCTGGAAAGGTATGAAGGTTGCCCTAAGCATAATCAGCTGAATTCACTTTTAAGCCATTTTACAACTGAGAATTGTAATGCAGAGGTTTCTAAGAAAATTCAGCTGAACATATTTAGAAGCACTGTTAAGATCTTTGAAAGTCAGGGGTAAAGGCGGTACATCTGGCAGTGCAAGGGAAATGGGGACAGGTGTGATGAACATGATCTGCCCCCCTGCATGCACTTTGCCTTTGCATAATCACCCCAGCCCTGCTCCCACAGTGGAGTCTACCTCTTTCTGAATCTGAGCAATTTTATCTGCCAAAAACTTTGCAAAATCTTTGCAGGAGATCTTGGGGTCTTTACCAGGCCCCGATGGCAAAGGTGGTTCCATTAAATTGTGAACCACCTGAAAGAGTCTCCTGCTGCTATTTTCTGCAGATGCAATAGAGGCGGTGAAGAAAGTCATCTTCATCGTCACTATCACCACTTGGTAGGCTCAGTGTTGAGCTCTAACCTTTGTCCGGTCCAATTTAGAATGAGTTTTCCGCCACCGGCACTCTAGTCTCAGCTTTGTTTCATAGCCCTCAGCTCCAGGGAAAACCACGGGGCTGTCTGGGCTCCATGCAATTGGAGAGGGCACTTTGGAGACAGACAGTTGATAGCCCTGGTTAACTCCGTATTCCAGTGGGCTACCAGGGAATCAGCTGAAAGGCCATCAGCATGGGATAAACCATCCCCTACTATTCTCTGGAAACCATTTGGATCCATTAAGTGGCTGGGGCAGACCATCTGAATTGGTCTCACCTCCCTGGCAAGGGGAAGTGTTGTGGAGAAGTCCAGTTGCACCAGGAAGTGATCTGACCATGGCACTTATTTAGTTTCGCTTTTACTTAGTGTCAGATCACCAACACCCATGGAGGTGAACACCAGGTTTAAGGCATGTCTGCGACTATGAGTTGGGCCAAATTTATTCAGGGACAGCCCCATGGAGGCTATGCTTTCCACAAAGTCCCGAGCAGCCCCTTGTAAGGTCATGTCGGCATGGATGTTAACATCCCCTAGGATAGCCTTTCTCAACTTGTGGGTCCCCAGATGTTGTTGAACTACAACTTCCCTAGCTAGCAAGGCCAAAGCTCAGGGATTATGGGAGTTGTAGACCAACAACATCTGGGGACCAACAGGTTGAGAACCGCTGCCCTAGGACAACCAAACTAGGTGTCTCCAGGAGAATACCTGCCACAACCTGAAGCAGCTCAGACAGGGAATCCTTGGTGCAGCGGAGAGGTTGGTACACCAAAAGGAATCCTGTACTGCCCCTATTGCCCAACTTCCACAACACGCACTTAGAGAACTGGGTCTTCCCAATAGGATGCCCGGAGGCAGGGATAGTCTTCAAACAACGACTAAACCTGCCTCCTCGATAATGACGTGGTCTGGTCTTAGCATAACTCCTCCTCCTACCTGGGATCACTGAGATCGGGTGTACCAGTGCATCCCCCCATGGAACCTGCCTCAGCCATTCTGTTGGCTGAGGCCCACTCCCAGGCATCCCTGACCCTTTCCCTTTAAGACAGAACTATACAAAACTACACAAACTATTCAAAAAGGGGGTGAAAGGGGGGGAATAATAAAAAATTACTATACTAAAATTAAACCAATCCCCATTGACCAGCAGAAGCTCTTCAGGGTTTCAGAGAGGTATCTTTTTTGCACATGTTCTGCAGTGAGGTTAGATGACATCATTGCACATGTATTTATTTCACATTCATGCCAATTTATTTGCAGGGAGGTTATAAGACATTGCACTCAGCAATTCTTATCCCACACTTTCCAGTAAGTTTTCCTGTCACTCTCCTTATCAGAAAAAGTCCTTTTAAAAAAACAAAGCAAAAGTGAGTTCATCGCAAAGAACATCAAATGAACTTTAATTGAACTTTAATAGTGACAGCTGGAAGTGCCCTAATTGCATATTTCCATGCGCCATATCTTTGAAAAAAAACTTTACAAGCTTTCCTGGAAACCAAAAAAATGTTGTTGCCTATGTTTAGGAAATGTAATTTGCCTTTCCCCCAGTGACCTAATACAGCATCTTAGACTAGTACAGGATAAAAGTGTTTTACACTATATACTATCTACTCCACCAGGAAAAGCTTTGCATTCATCTGTAATGCAGACTGCAGACTGTTGGTGAAAACAGTCAAGTCTTGCCAATCAGAAAACATTTTTTGCCAGCGCAAACTTAATTTTGGCGCAATGATTTATTTACAATCTATCCTCCAAAAAGGAAAAGGGTTTCTCATTTTTCAACTGTTGCCATGCAAAATCTGGATTTGGTAGGATCCTTCAAAGGAAAGCATGGTAAGTCCTTGTGTGCTATGGATCTTTGTTACTTAGAAGTACAATTAGAGAAAATAAAGTGAAATGCAAATATGATATAAAATGCTTCAAATATGCTGTTTGTTATTATGTATATTTACTAGAAAGTGGGTTCTATGGAGTTCAGTAGAACTTTCTCCCAATTTAGCAAGCTTCATATCTATCTATTCCAATATAGAGGCCATATGGCACTATTTACACTGATTAGAACAAAATTTAAAAATATGTAATAAAACTGCTGCAAATAAAGAAAAAATGTATATTTGTTTTCTGGGAAGAATAGAACAAAAATATATAATAAATTCAATACTTTTGCAGCACACCATGAACACCATTGGACTCATCAAATTATATATAATTTGTTTTTTATGCTTTTAAATAAATAACAAACAATTTTCACTTGTTTGCCGCTGAAAATTATGAGAAGCTATTTGGAAAGTAGATTTATTTATCTATTTAGGAAAGGGCATTTATACAAATTATGAAATAAGACTTTGCTCTTATCCATCAGGGCTTTTAAAACACTCTTATGATTCAGAAGATCTTTCTGTGGATCTAACCTATTGACATTGCAACCTTTAGTTCATAACTACAAAAAAACAAAAACAAAACACCCTTCTACTGAACCCAGTAGGGCTTAATTCAGAGTAAACACAAATAGAATGATGAAAGACTTTTCACCATCAAGCGTTATATTTTATCCAATGTGATCTGTTGGGGGCCACTGAACATTAGCACTAAAGCAGTGAATAGACTTAAACAGGATGGAAGCAATTCTAGTCATTACATCAAGTTAAATGAATGTACTCAGATACAAATATATGGAAATGCTGGAGTGCTGGTACTGTCCCATAGAAAGGCTGAATTAAAAACAGAGCAATAACATCTTTTTTTATCCTGGAGAAGCATGGGCTTTTAATTTTATTCTTAAATGCTAGTCCCTCCTGGAGCACGAGGGGCTTTTTAACTTGTGAAGTACAATCATACAATCATATGCATGTTAATTTGGAAGTAAATCATGCTATGTGTTCTGTAGGGCTCTCTTCCAAGTCATAGGATTACACTAACAGTGTTAGTCAAAACTATTTTCCTTATTCCCCCAAAAATAAATGATGCTACTGATTGATTGATTGATTGATTGATTCATTCATTATTATTTATTTTATCATGTCGCATCTAGTTGGTACCTCCGACTGGTATTTGATCCAGTGGGGTGAGAAAGAGCCAATTTTCAGTGACTGCCCCTGTCAAGGCTGCCTCAGGTCTCAGCTCACAAAAGACCAACGCCAATCTCTTCTTACATACAAAAGTGTTTATTGCAGTTCATTGTTTCCTTCATATCCGAGGCGCGCAGCCTCACGTCTGTACGCTTAGACCGTTGAAGTCCCCTCTGAGTCAGTCCCTCCCCTGCACCAGTTTAAGAGCCTTGCGCTGCTCCACCTCTTTCTCTCTTTCCTTTTCCTCAGGGTCTTCCTGCCCGCTGGGGGTTCGCCCTCCTGGATTCCCCTGACGCGCTATCCCCCGACTGCTCTTCCCCTCCTGCGGGCTTTAGGACCTGGCCCTTCCTCCGGGCTCCCTGTACTTCCGCGCGCCTCTACATTTGAACTCAGCGCGCGCGCCCAACCTCTAACTTTCCTTTTGACAGTTACACTACTCCCTTCACTACTCCCTCCCCTTCCGGGAGGGTGGCTTGCTCCGACCTCCCTCCCTTCTCTGCTGCCGGAGCTGCTTCCCTGATACACTGGAAACTCCACCCCCTTCGCTGCACTCTGGTGGGGAGGCTGGTCCTGACGCCCAGCTGCCACTTTGGGATCCCCTGCTGGCCCCTGTTCCTGACACGTCCCCCTGGGGCTCCCTGGCCTTGACCACTGGCGCCCCGTCTGGGAATCCTCTGATTCGCTGGAAAGACTCATGGAATCTCTTGAGTCATTGTCATCCTCTTCCTCGCTGTCCTGGGATTCATCCCCATCGCTCTCCATCTCCTCCCTACCCTGTGCCTCTGTCCCTGAACCCCTGACAGCCCCTTTCCTTTGCACCCTGCTGCACTACATCCCATAACATTTTGAAGCTCTGCCAACTCTCTGGAGCATATATTTGGAAGTGCAGGGATTTGGGAGAGATGAGAAGTGACCAACAAAAATCTTTAAATATAAGGGAGGGGAGAGAAGGTTTGCTCTTCTGCCGACTGGACTGAGTCAGGCACAGGTGGCTTTTATGCATGGCTCGCTGGCTTTTCAGTTTGCTTTGATGACACTGATCCTCATTTTGGGCCAGGGCTGTGTGGCCACCCTATGTGTTGTGAAATTAGGATTTGTTTGTCTCAAGCTGCATCACTTTTGGTTTAATCTGCACTGAGGTGGGGGCTAGGGAAGCTTGCTATAGCTACTGAATGTCCCAGAAAATTAGATTGTAAAAAACCCTCATATTTTGAAACAAACAAAACTAATTTGGGTGCTGGGTTCTTTTGGTAATCACTGTAAGTGTTTTTTCTATGCAGAACAGGCATTCAATCACGGAGAGACAGAACCAATCCAGTGTTAGAGATTTCATTCTTCTGGGATTCCCAACACCCCTGGAATTCCAAATCTTGCTCTTCACATTGTTCCTCATTGTCTACATTTTGGTTTTGTCTGAGAACGTCATAATCATGCTGACAGTCTGGGTGAACAGCAACCTCCACACTCCCATGTACTTCTTTCTGTGGAACTTGTCCTTCTTAGAGATCTGGTACATCACCGTCACCCTGTCAAAGGCTATGGTGAACTTTGTGATAGAGAGCAATCTGATCTCCTTTGTGGGATGCATGATGCAACTCTATTTCTTCCTGGCATTGGGCTGCACTGAGTGTGTCCTCCTTGCCGTCATGGCCTATGACCGCTACGTTGCTATCTGCTACCCTTTGCGCTACCAGGTAATCATGACACGAACTCTCTGTATCCAGCTGGCAGCTGGATCATGGATGAGTGGCTTTTTCATCTCAACGTGGAAAGTCCTCCTAATATCTCAGTTGACATACTGTGGTCCCAATATCATAAATCACTTCTTCTGTGATGTATCCCCACTTCTGAACTTGTCTTGCACTGATATGTCCATGTCTGAGCTGACAGATTTCATATTAGCTTTGTTTATCCTACTGACTCCCCTTTGTGTCACCATCATGTCCTACATTTATATCATCTCCACCATCCTACGCATTCCCTCAGCCAAAGGCCGCCAAAAAGCATTCTCCACTTGTGCATCTCACCTCACTGTGGTAGTGATCTTCTACTCTGCCAGTATTTTCATCTATGCCCGCCCCAGGGCCATCAGCTCCCTCAATTCGAGCAAACTTGTTTCACTTCTTTATGCTGTCATAGTCCCTCTTTGCAACCCAATTATTTACTGTCTCAGGAACAATGAAGTGAAACAAGCACTGAAGAAAACCCTGTTGCGGAAGCCATAAGGAAGCCTTTTTATGGCCAGGGCCAGATTTAGGTTTGATGAGGCCCTAAGCTGCTGAAGATAATGGGGCCCTTTATATGTCCAGCTGTTCTTTTGTGTTGAATATATGCTATATGGTAATTTATGGACCTAAAGTAAAGGTAAAGGTACCCCTGCCCGTACGGGCCAGTCGTGTCCGACTCTGGGGTTGTGTGCTCATCTCGCTCTAGAGGCTGTGAGCCGGCACCGTCCGAAGACACTTCTGGGTCACGTGGCCAGCATGACAAAGCTGCAGCTGGCGAGCCAGCACCTGCGCAGCACACGGAAACGCTGTTTACCTTCCCGCTATAAAGCGCTCCCTATTTTCTACTTGCACTTAAGAGTGCTTTCGAACTGCTAGGTGGGCAGGAGCTGGGACCGAATGATGGGAGCTCACCCCGCCGCGGGGATTCGAACCGCCGACCATACGATATCTAAAGCCATTTGCCACTGTTGCTGTATGTAGGTTTTATTTTATTTGTTTTTTTAATCTTATATCTTCAAAATGTACATCCGGGTTTTTTTTTCCTTTAATTTTTTGGGGGGCCCCAAGAGAGTGGGGCCCTAAGCTATAGCTTGTTTAGCTTATACGTAAATCCGGCACTGCTTATGACTGATATGGAGACTGCTATTAGCACAGAATACCATAGCCTGAGTGGTGTCCCTTACTAGACACATGCCACACCTGTGCTAAGGGAACTTCACAGGTTGTCTATTAAGTATCAAGCCAGATTTAAAGTTATGTTACTAAAATATAAAGCCCTAAACAGCTTTGGACTATGTTATCTGAAAGAACCAATTGCCCTCCATTAAGCTCAGCAAATGGAACAAATTTAGCCTTTCCATGAACTTCTGGTTATCAACTTCTGGTGATGCAGAGACAGACCTTGTGTCTGGTGGCACTGGTGTTATGGAAAGCACTCCCTGCTGAAATACAAGAGGACACACCTATATTGGCATTGCACTGGGCTTTGAAGACACAGACATTCCCTTGGTCTCTCAAAATGTTTCAAGCACTGTATTGTTTTAATGGGATTGTTTTACTGCATGTTTTAATGATGGAGGTTTATGTTTCAATGTTTTATTGTGTGTGTAACAACAACAGCAACAATTTATTTATACTCCACCCATCTGGCTGGGTTATGGATTAATTATGGATGTTTATATTTTAATATTTGTGCAATTGGTTTTTATATTTGTAAACCACTTAGAAATCTATTTTGGCATTCGGTTCTATACAAATTTAACAACAGTAATCCAGGGAAGAGTTCAGATTTAATGTTACAGAGAAGTAAGTAGCAGGCTGCTCTTGCCTATTAGAAAGGCAAGCACAGCTGTTTTTTGAAGCAGCCAGGGAGCGGAGAAGCCTTTTTGGCTTAAGGGTCACATTCCAAAGCTTAAATGCTGGTAGTGTGCAGGGCCAAATCTAAAAGTTGGGGGGGGGAGGAGGAAGCCACCTACAAAGCCCATAGAGACACCCATACACTTCTCCCCTTCAATCACATCAATATTCCATTAATTCACACACATTTAGATGTTTAACGTATCCTGAAACAATGATAAAGGGGCACTGCTAAGAGTACTACATGCCCCACAGGTATGCTTAATATGTACAAGAAAACAGGCTTTTAGGGTTGCATCTCCAGCCCTCTGGAATAAGTAGCCAGTAGCTTTTAACTTCTTCAAGTAAAATGCCTTCCAGAATCTCTCTAACAAACTAAGATACTCATAAGACATTTCCAAAATTAAATTTAGTGCGTGTGTGCGCGTTAACATCTGACTGCAGCAATAACAAGACTGTCCTAAGGGCTATGGTGCTGAGTACTTAAACTGATGTGTAGTCAGATGCTCTGCATGGCTCAAATCCTACAAAGTTCATTGAAATCAATGAAATTGAAGTAGACGTATTTGTTAATTTCATTGGGTCTCCTCTGAGTAGTATTAACTAATATATAAATTCCTCTAATAGGCATTTTATATTGCTGGTATATACAATTTAATGCACGCCTCCCCCAATGTATACAATATAAACATTATTTTGTTGGAGAACTGCATTGCAGTTGTTGGAGAACTGCATTGCAAAATTCAGCGACGAGAAACTTTTGAAGAAATAGCTTCATTGAGTTGCTGCATTCTGGATCAGTTGAATTTCTTTTGCATCCCTATTCTGAATATGACTCAGTTTTATACCACTCAGAAGTTAGTTCAGGGGGGCTGACTCCCTGGTATGTTTGCAATGGATGGTGGTCTTAATTTCACTGAACTCAGTTTCCAGAGAGCCACAGCCTTAGATTTTGAGAAACAAAGATGTATTTTTCATGTGTGTCTTTTTCATGGGTGTCTTCAAAGGTTAGCAACCTTTTGGAAGGAAGTCTCGTGGAAATTACATATAGCTAAGAATATAAATTGAGGAGGTTTCATTCACAAACCACAGTATATTCTCATGTTACTGTATGTCTCCTGCATAACATATGTGTCTCATAACATAACCTACAGGGGGAATCCCCAACTATGCAAGGAATGGGATTTAACTATTGGGTTAAAATGTTTGTATATCTTGAGATAATTTAGTCTTGTCTTTTTTCTTTTAGGGAAAGCTATAAAAAGGGAGCAGACAAGTTATTTTTTAAAAAACTGTGTTTCAGAGGAAAAAACATTAACAATAAAGGTATTTTATTGGATAATCTGAATTTTTTGTCTGCAAGATTCATTTGTTATGGCATGTTAGCATATGTAAAGTGGCATTACATTTATGCTATTATTTATTTATATAATAAGAAGAAGAAGAAGAAGAATGACAATGACAACAGCAACAACAATTTATTTGTACCCCGCCCATCTGACTGGGTTGCCCCAGCAACTCTAGGCAGCTTCCAATATATGTTGCTTGATTAATAAAACCTCAGAGTGGTTTACAAAAATTCACCAGTAGAAAACATTCTAAAACAAGTGTTTTAGGTATTCAAAAATATTTTTAATCAACAATGCGTAAAGCCAGATTAAGGCACCCATTAGCTTTCACATATCTGAATAGGCTTGCCAAAAAAGAAAAAAGAAGAAAAAAGAAAAGAAATGGTAGGCACTGGAATGAAGGGGCCTGCTGAGGTGAACAGTGTGAACAAAAAGGAAATTCCAAAGCTTGGGTGCTGCCACACCGAAAGATCAATTTCTTGCAAGTGCTTGAAGCAGTAAAGTGGGTATATAAACTGGTCCCAGTCTTTTAGGGGCTTTATGTACTAATAGTAACACCCTGAACTTGACCCAGTAACTGATTGGCAACTAGCACAGGTCTCTGAGCAGAGGTGCTACATGTTGGCCACAGCATTCCACACTTACTGCAGATTTCAGATCCAGGGCAAGAGAAGCCCCACATAGTAATCCATTCACTTATCAAAATTTATGAAAAGATTGTATGTGTAGAAGACAACTGCTATGTAAAGAAACTCTCCAAACCCTTATAGTACAGTGGTACCTTGTTTAACAACCATAATCCCTTCTGGAGGTCCGGTTGTAAACCAAGGCACGCTTTCACCAATGGGGTCTCCAAAATAAAAAAGGGTTGCAATCCCCCCCCCAATGAGTTGTAATCCAAAAAAGGGACACACACTTCTGGGTTTGATGTGGTTCTAATCCAGAACGGTTGTAATCCAAAACGGCTACAAACCAAGGTACCACTATATGTTGCTAATGTATCAGAACATTGCTGTTCCATTACGTTCAGTAGACACATTATGTTTCCAAGAGTTCACAAGATGTTTATACAAGGTTCACAAACAGTACATTAAAGCAACTGACCAGCTGCAGGCGCTGACTGTGATGAGCTTTTCATACCTGCTTAAGAGCTACCTGTTCATTCAGACTTTTATTGGTTGCTCTTTCCCAGCTTGAAAGGATGTGTGTTCCTGGTTTCAGTGGGTAGAATTTTATAACAAATAAAATACATACAGTAACAGTGTTTTGTGTTGTGTAGGCTCCTATGGTGTAAGTAATGGACCCCACCTGCTAGCCTCCTCCCTAAAATATCACTGGTTTGCTCATTTCTATATATAAGGTGCCTACATTCTGCATGGACTGGTTGCATGGCAACATGTGCAAATGGCTTTAGAACTATGGAATTTGGACCCACATCATGCAATAATGGCCACCAATATGGATGACTTTAAAAGAGGACTAGAGTAGTGGCGGACTTTGGGGTCTCAAATTTCAGTGGCACCTTATGCGGCTTCAAAATTTGCCACTTCCACAGACAGGAAAGAAGAAAAAGCTTTATGGAAATTCTGGCCAACAGATTTCAGCACAGAACTAGTTATATCTAGGAGTTTGATGTCCCTGGATGTACAGGAGCAGTCTACATGTATTTCCCACACATTTCTTGGAGGTCTTCTGCTACTTTACATTTAGAGGGGGGGGAGAGTGTTAAAAACCCAAATGACAAATTTTGTTTTCTTGTGAGTGCTTTCAAAACCTAGTATCTTAAAATGTGTAACAAATTTAATCTACATGTATAAACTTCCTTGTTGTTAATTTATCTGTATAGCAAATCTATAGCCAGCACACTGCAAAACCCCTCACTGTTATGCAGATGTTTAATTTACACTTAGAAAATGTTACATCTGCTCTGCATTTCCGAACATAATAACACTCTGGGGATTGAGTCCGAAGTGAGCACCATTTACTTAAAGAGAGAAAACTATTACAATAAACAAGAACACAATCCAACTGAGGTAAGTTCTTCCCACATTAAATACATTCATAGATACATTCATGTATTTCAGTGGGAGAAGGCAAAATCCCTGAAGATCTTGATTTAACTATAAATAGAAGGTGCACGGCTTTGGAGTAAAGAGGTTTCTGAGTCATGCAAATGTACAGTTTGTACACCATCCTTGGATTAACGGAGGTGAGAGATTATTCTTGATACTTGATCATAGTAATGTTGTAGCATTTATATGAATAGATTTTCTAAAATTATTACAGAGAGTTGAAACTGATAATTATTTTGTCTTACACAAATTTCCTATTTTAAATTTCTGCTCCATAGCTAGGAGCTGCAATATTTTGAAACATCCACATTTTTTATTCTTTTTATTCTGAAGCTTTTGATGTTATTGGATGAGAGATGGTGAATCCTTTGAAGAAGGGTTTAGATCATCTTTACATAAGTACTTTCTGACATATCTCCAGGTCTGCTAAAAGGAAAATAGGTAATGCAAGCTGGCTTTTTAAAAGCATGTAAAAGCATGTAACTGCATGTTTTTATATTTAAAAAGCGTGTAACTGCATGTTTTTATATTTATTTTTTTATTAGCTATTACGGAGGCTGTTGAAGAGAAAGAGTAGTAGCCATTATATTTTCTAGGGATGGAATGCACTTCTTAACCACATTCACAGTCATGTTTTGGAACAATACATAGTGTAACTTATTTATAAGATAAATGCAACAAATTGTGTACTTGGAACCTGCACTGTACATGAGGATCATTTGTCAGTCCTTCAAGCAGAGTGCCCACACTCTACATGGGCTAATAAAAATGATAGTTGCTGAAGGCCCTGCATGTGCATCAGAGCTGTAAAAGGAAATGATACGTGGACTTGAAGAGAACAATCATCTCCAGTTCAAAAGTACATGACATCTGGGAAGTAGACAAAAGTCTACTATACCATGCTTCTAGTAGTCACATTTGCTTGTTTCTCCAGATGGTGTGTCCCCCATCTCCAAGTCTGCCACACACCCCCCCCCCCCAATCTTGGAAAACAGTCTGATATTAGCCTTGAGCAGAAACTGGAATTTTGATAAGGGAATTATTAGCAGGATGGAAAATTCTTTGTTCTCCTCCTGGTCAATGTATCTTATTTAAAACTGAGTAAGAACCACTGGGGATCACAGTGGGTAGGAAATACCAAAAACCAACTGACTACCATAAGAAACGTGTATATGCAGCTATGACTTGATATTAATCAAGTCATTGGTTTCATGTATGAAGTACAGTTAAACTTTGGAACTACTCTCTGGTAACTCAAACACAATATTTTTTCACAGACACATCCTCAATGATGACTTACTAATCCACTGAGATACCACTTGAGCTGTTCTTTCTCTCCTTTTCATATTGTACGAATAAAAAGAAAGGAGCCCTATGGGGTGTATGGCTTTCATGAGTTTTGGGTTGTATGCACGTGCTCTGCCACAGAGACACATCAACTTACACAATGACTCTATAATGAGCTCCTCTTTGGGGGAGAATAGGTCTCTTTTTTCATATTACAAAAAAAAAATAGTAAAAATGAAGCACATTGAAAAGATTTGCATATTGCGAGAATTGACAATACTGTCTGCATCTAGGGGTAGTCAATATTTTGTATGATGTTCTGTCTAGGAGCATAGAATAATAAAGATTTTCCTTATGCTCACTCACACAACTGATCTATCTAGCTCAGTATTGTCTACCCACTGATCTTCAACTGGTCAGGACTTACTACTCAGTCATGACCTGATCCAGGAGCACTACCACCATGCAGTTGTAAGGTAGCATATTAAGAGATGGGTACCCAAATGCATGTTTCAGTTAAAAGTGGGTCCTCAGTCTGAAAAGGCTTAAGATAACTGGCCTACACGTATTGGCAGCAGATGTCCAGGATCTCAGGCAGCTGTCATACTTAGCCCTTTCTGGAGAGTCTGGAGATTGCACCTGGGACCTGTTGTAGTCAAATCAGATGAACAAGAGCTATCAATCACAGGCAAGAGAGGACTCAATCATGTTATCCCTGGCTTGCAGTTGGAATAATACAGAACAGCAAGTGAAGCATCATACTATTCTACTAATACAGGGAGTTGGGGACCAATTTCCTAAACCAGTAAAAATGCCCACCAATTCATTTTCACTGGGCAAGGCAAGGTAACAGCTCTGACAGTCTGATTTAGGAAAATATTATGAAGCCCATTTTAGAATGATGGTATCATACATTTGAAAAACCTCAGTTAAGTGCAAGATTAATGAGGTTGCAGCATGGCCATGTACAGCAGATGCATGTATCATACAAGAGCTTGACATTTTGTCAAGTGTACATTTTGTGGCAAGCTTGGATCTGTTGCTTCTCAATGAGTGCAGCAGAGCATTCTCATTTCCATCTAGTGTAGATGCCATATTTCACAAGGCAGTGTAGAAAAATTACACACATTGAAAACTTACTTGCAGAATAAATAACAGAGCAGTCAATATTAGGTGAAACCAGATATATTGTTATTATAGTTGTTGCTGTATTCTAGATGTTGTTTATCTGATATTTTAAAGAGTCCACAAAAGGACCATCTCTTGCAAAAATCTGTTCACACTTGCATTTGTCTTCCAGAATTGAAATAATTTCAAGAAAGACAAACCTTGCACTGTATTCATCGGTTCTTATTTTAAAAAGAGAGAAATAAAATGTTGTGGGAAATGGATAATGTTGCTGTTAACTGTGGAAATCCCATAATATGTTATCATATGACATAGACAGCAATGGAGACAGAAGGCACGATTCTGCTTTAAAGCCCCCATCATAATTACAACCCATGTTCTTTATGGTCAAGAAAAGAAAATGGAAAACCACACAATGGTTACACAATTCATCTTAGCGGGTTTCCAAGGCAATCTAGAACTACAGCTGGCTCTCTCTATTCTCTTCCTGCTGTTATATGTCATTACCTTAATAGGAAATATTGGAATGATAACCATCATCACTACTGATGGCCAACTGCAAAGTCCTATGTACTTTTTCTTGAAAAACTTATCCTTTTTGGATGTCTGCTACTCTTCAGTCATCACTCCCAAAGCCATGCTGAGCTTTGCTACTGGAAACAAGGCCATTTCCTTCAATGAGTGTGCCATTCAAATGTTTTTCTTCTCTCTCTTTGGGACCACCGAATGTTTCTTCCTTGCTGTGATGGCGTATGATCGGTTCACTGCCATCTGCAATCCGCTGCTTTACAATGTCACCATGTCCAAGAAGACCTGCACACTTCTGGTGGCCATTTCCTACTGTTTTGGCTTTATCAATTGTTGCACACAAACAAGCCTTTCATTCAGCTTGTCCTACTGTGAGCCAGGGGAGATCAACCAGTTCTTTTGTGATGTTCCAGCAGTCATGAAGGCCTCTTGCTCAGACACTTTTGTAAATGAAATGGTGCTTTTGGGGATGTGTGGATTTATCATTATTATCACCTCCACAACTGTCCTAATCTCCTATGGCTACATAGTAGCCACAATCCTGCGCATACCTTCGGTGGAGGGGAGACACAAGGCTTTCTCAACCTGTACTTCTCATATCATGGCTGTAGTCTTGTTCTTTGGGACAGCTTTCTTTATGTACGGCCAACCTGGAGCTCTCGCTTCTCCGAACCAAGGTAAAGTGGTATCTGTCTTCTACACTATTGTCATCCCTATGTTGAACCCATTAATCTACAGCTTGAGGAACAAGGAGGTCAAAGATGCCTTGGGAAGACTATTGAAAAGGTTCGCTTTCATCCAGTAAACACACAGCTATATTATGGTTGGCAGTGCACAACGCTCAGTTTCTCCACTTGAGGCAAAATTGGAAGTGCTGCTTTGCCCTGTTGCTCTTGCCAACCCGACCGCCTGCTGCTGCTGCTGCTGCTGCTGCTGTGAGCCCTGCTATATCCACTGCTGGCAGAGAAGCAGCACTGCTATCAGCACCAATTGGGGCAAGATCATGCCAATTTCAGATGAGATATTGCCACCAATGGACACACTCTTGCTCAAAATTGGTGCTGCTGGTGACTCCACCTGCTAGCCTCCTCCCTGAAACATCACTGGTTTGCTCATTTCTATATATAAGGTGCCTACATTCTGCATGGACAGGTTGCATGGCAACATGTGCAAATGGCTTTAGATACCCACTAGGTCCATAAATTACGATATAGCATATATTCAACACAAACAACAAAAACAATTTGTTGTTGACAAAGGACAGCTGGACATATAAAGGGCCTCATTACCTTCAGTAACCTAGGGCCTCATTAAACCTAAATCCAGCCCTCTTTTTATCTCAACATGTTTTCTATGGACTTTGTCTTACACTCTCACACATCAACTGTGCACAGTTAAACTGTGGAATTTGGGGGGAAATTGTATTGAATTTGTCTTAATTTGTGGCTCATTTGATAAAATTTAGAAAATCAATATAAATGATTTGTCCACTCTGAAGAAAAACAACTATGGAATTTGGACCCACAACATGCAATAATGGCCAGCAATATGAATGACTTTAAAAGAGGACTAGAGTAGTGGCAGACCTTGGCGTCTCAAATTTCAGTGGCACCTTATGCAGCTTCAAAATTTGGCACTTTCACAGACAAGAAAGAAGAAAAAGTTTTATGGAAATTCTGGACAACAGATTTCAGCACAGAACTAGTTATATCTAGGAGTTTGACCCAAATGACAAGTTTTGTTTTCTTGTGAGTGCTTTCAAAAACCAGTATCTTAAAATGTGTAACATATTTAATCTACATGTATAAACTTCCTTGTTGTGAATTTATCTGTATAGCAAATCTATAGCCAGCACACTGCAAAACCCCTCACTGTTATGCAGATGTTTAATTTACACTTAGAAAATGTTACATCTGCTCTGCATTTCAGAACATAGTAACACTCTGGGGACTGAGTCTGAAGTGAGAACCATTTACTTAAAGAGAGAAAACTATTACAAGAAACAAGAACACAATCCCACTGGGTTAAGTTCTTCCCACATTAAATACATTCATAGATACATTCATGTATTTCAGTGGAGGAAGGCAAAATCCCTGAAGATCTTGATTTAACTATAATAATAAGGTGCACGGCTTTGGAGTAAAGAGGTTTCTGAGTCATGCAAATGTATAGTTTGTACACCATCCTTGGAGTAACGGATGTGAGAGATGATTCATGATGATACAACCACCATAACTAACCATAGTAATGTTGTAGCATGCATATGAACAGATTTTCTAAAATTATTACAGACAGTTGAAACTGATAATTATTGTATGTTACACAAATTTAGCATTTCCTATTTTAAATTTCTGCTCCATAGCTGGGGCTGCAATGTTTTGAAATAAGGTACATCCACATTTTTTATTCTTTTTATTCTGAAGCTTTTGATGTTATTGGATGAGAGATGGTGAACCCTTTGAAGAAGGGTTTGGATCATCTTTGCATAAGTACTTTCTGACATATCTCCACGTCTGCTAAAAGGAAAATAGGTAATGCAAGCTGGCTTTTTTAAAAGCATGTAACTGCATGTTTTCATATTTATTTTTTCATTAGGTATTACAGAGGCTGTTGAAGAGAAAGAGTAGTAGCCATTATATTTTCTAGGGATGAAATGCACTTCTTAACCACATTCACAGTCATGTTTTGGAACAATACATAGTGTAACTTATTCATAAGATAAATGCAACAAATTGTGTACTTGGAACCTGCACTGTACATGAGGATAATTTGTCAGTCCTTCAAGCAGAATGTGAGTGCCCACACACTACATGGGGTAATAAAAATGATAGTTGCTGAAAGCCCTGCATGTACATCAGAGCTGTGAAAGGAAATGATATGTGGACTTGGAGAGAACCCTCAACTCCAGTTCAAAGGTACATGACATCTGGGAAGTAGACAAAGGTCTACCACACTATGTTTCTAGTAGTCACATTTGTTTGTTTCTCCAGATGGTGTCCCATCCCCCATCCCCCCCAATCTTGGAAAACAGTCTGATATTAGCCTAGAGCAGAAACTAGATATTTGATAAGGGAATTATTAGCAGTATGGAAAATTCCTTGTTCTGCTCCTGGTTAATGTATCTTCTTTAAAACTGAATAAGAACCACTGGGGATCACAGTGGGTAGAAAATACCAAAAACCAACTGACTACCATAAGAAACGTGTATATGCAGCTATGACTTGATATTAATCAAGTCATTGGTTTCATGTATGAAATACAGTTAAACTTTGGAACTACTCTCTGGTAACTCAAACACAATATTTTTTCACAGACACATCCTCAATGATGACTCACTAATCCACTGAGATACCACTTGAGTTGTTCCTTCTCTCCTTTTCATATTGTATGAATAAGAAGAAAGGAGCGCTATGGGGTTTATGGCTTTCATGAGTTTTGGGTTGTATGCATGTGCTGAACTCAATGCTTTATCTGCCACATCAACTTACATGTTGTTGTTTAGTCATTTAGTCGTGTCTGACTCTTCGTGACCCCATGGACCAGAGCATGCCGGGCTCTTACATAATGACTCTATAATGACTCAACTTACATAATGACTCTATAATGAGCTCCTCTTTGGGGGAGAATAGGTCTCTTTTTTCATTTTACAAAAATAAATAAATAGTAAAAATGAAGCACATTGAAAATATTTGCATATTGCGAGAATTGACAATACTGTCTGCATCTAGGTGTAGTCAATATTTTGTATGATATTCTGTCTAGGAACATAGAAAAATAAAGATCTTTCTTATGCTCACTCACACAACTGATCTATCTAGCTCAGTATTGTCTACCCACTGATCTTCAACTGGTCAGGACTTACTACTCAGTCATGGCCTGACCCAGGAGCACTACCACCATGCAGTTGTAAGGTAGCATATTAAGAGATGGGTACCCAAATGCATGTTTCAGTTAAAAGTGGGTCCTCAGTCTGAAAAGGCTGAAGATAACTGGCCTACACGTATTGGCAGCAGATGTCCAGGATCTCAGGCAGCTGTCATACTTAGCCCTTTCTGGAGATGCTGGAGATTGAACCTGGGACCTATTGTAGTCAAATCAGATGAACAAGAGCTATCAATCACAGGCAAGAGAGGACTCAATCATGTTATCCCTGGCTTGCAGTTGGAATAATACAGCACAGCAACTAAAGCAACATACTATTCCACTAATACGGTGAGTTGGGGACCAATTTCCTAAACCAGTAAAAATGCCCACCAATTCATTTTCACTGATCAAGGCAAGGTAACAGCTCTGACAGTCTGATTTAGGAAAAATATTATGAAGCCCATTTTAGAATGATGGTATCATACATTTGAAAAACCTCAGTTAAGTGCAAGATTAATGAGGTTGCAGCATGGCCATGTACAGCAGATGCATGTATCATACAAGAGCTTGATATTTTGTCAAGTATACATTTTGTGGCAAGCTTGGATCTGTTGCTTCACAATGAGTGCAGCAGAGCATTCTCATTTCCATATAGCGTAGATGCCATATTTCACAAGGCAGTGTAGAAAAATTACACACATTGAAAACTTACTTGCAGAATAAATAACACTTCTGGTGGCCATTTCCTACTGTTTTGGCTTTATCAATTGTTGCACACAAACAAGCCTTTCATTCAGCTTGTCCTACTGTGAGCCAGGGGAGATCAACCAGTTCTTTTGTGATGTCCCAGCAGTCATGAAGGCCTCTTGCTCAGACACTTTTGTAAATGAAATGGTGCTTTTGGGGATGTGTGGATTTATCATTATTACCACCTCCACAACTGTCCTAATCTCCTACGGCTACATAGTAGCCACAATCCTGCGCATACCTTCGGTGGAGGGGAGACACATGGCTTTCTCAACCTGTACTTCTCATATCATGGCTGTAGTCTTGTTCTTTGGGACAGCTTTTTTA